GCTCCACCATGGCCTCGAAGACCAGATTTCTTCATTTCATTGACAATCCAATCAGAGCCCTTAAGTACCAAGTCTTTAGTTCTATACCAGTCACCCCGCTTCATGGCACCTTTCAGGAAAGGGTCGTGCAGCCCATTAACAAATGCTTCTTCAAGGACTGATTCCGGCAGGTCACGTAAGGGAGCGGAGAGCACCTCGAATTGGCGACGATATTCCTTAACAGTAGAAGATTGATGTAACGAGAAGAGCTGCTCCTGTAAATTACCCTCCTGAGTCGATCGAAAACGTTCAAGGAGGAGCTCTTTGAATTTTGTCCAACCACGAAAAGGTCGCCGACTATCTTCCCAGTAATACCACGCCAATGCATCACCCTCTAAACATACAACTGCAGCTCGCAGACGCTCTGCCAGAAGCAAGCCATTAATCTCAAAATAGCACTCCGCGCGAAAAAGCCAGCCGTCTGGATTTTCCCCATCAAAAATAGGTAACTCCAACTTCCGAGGAAGTGAATCAGAAGTATGTTCCGCGACTGACACTGAAGGAGACGTCGGGAAAGCTGCACTCTTCCCTTTGTCAACCGCACGACTTGATGCGGCTACAGGAGGAGCAATGTTCGTTGTAGACAAGGGAGCTGGCAAGGTCTGTTGCTGAAGCAACAGATCAAAACGTCTTACCAAGTCTTGAACGCCTCCTTCCAGGGATGTGATCTTCAAAATTCCAGCTGTTATCTCATCGCGTAAGCCATCTACTTTAGAATGCAGAGAAGTCAAGCGTTCTTCGAAACCCTCCACCTGCGATGCCACTTCCTTAGCTGTCACCATGGCCGAGGAAAGACGAGCTGTGATACCACTGTTATGTCCCAGAAATTCACACACAGTTCTCAGACCCACAGTAGAGTTCACACAACTAGAACATCAACAAAAGAAACTGGTATTCATAAGAAACATTTAACAGTTGGTTGGTTCTTCTCCTAATCACTCACAGTATTCTTCACTCAAAGAAAAGCATGCCACCCCTCATCCCCCAAAGCCCCTTCTTATACTCTTCTGATAGCATAACTGACTCCCTCTATAAATGCCCAGCTGGCCTAGTTATAAATGCCCAAAAACTCTTCTTATTCATAACTGATATAGCTATAAATGCCCCAAGACTCTTTCTATTCCCTTCTGACCTCCTCCATAAATGCCCCATGTCTAATCATCTCCCCCTTATGCTACCTTTTCTTTCTCCTAGCATACGTAAGGTTAACCGGGGGCCTATCAAATAACCACAATAAATGGAATTCCAAATTACAAAGTGGGATCCAACCTTTAGTCGAGGCCAATATGCTCCAAGCTGGACAAGTTCTTGTTCTCAATAGACTGGGAGGAACATTAGGGTAACCAAGTATCTAGGGCATTTCCAAGACTTACTTCAGACCATTGGCCTATAGTGATGTGTAAGGAGGAAATGAGAGGTGATGGACCTATCCCATTCAGGTTTGAAAATACGTGGTTGACCCATCCGGGGTTCAGTGGAAAGATCAGGGAGTGGTGGGAGCAATGGGAGGGAATGAGGTTACACAAGAAACTTCAATTTCTAAAATCACAATTAAAGGAGTGGAATAGGTTGGAGTTTGGAAGAATAGAGGAAAGAAAACAAGTCTTGTTGGAGCAGATTGAGGATTTGGATATGAAGGAAAAAAGGGGATCCTTTGGAGAGGAAGACAGGAAGATGAGATGAGATTTGAGGAGGCAAATGGAGAATATTCTGATTAAGGAGGAAATAAGTTGGAAGCTAAAGGAGGGAGATAGAAACACTAGATTTTTCCATTCAATGGCAAATGGGAGGAGAAAAAAGAAACTCATATCAAAATTGGAAGTAGAAGGAGTAGTCTTGTCAAACCCGGCAGAAATAGCAGAGGCCTTTGTAAATCATTTCAAATCTATATTTAGAAGGCCTTTGAATGAGGGTGTGGTTGGAGGGTTTGGATTGGCCGACTCTAAGTACAGAGAGCAGAGAGTGGTTGGAAAAGAGTTTTGATTCGGAAGAGATAAAGGAAGCATTATTCTCAATGGATAGGATAGAAGCTCCGAGCCCAGATGGCTTTACAATGACTTTTTATCAGGACTGATGGGATACTGTAGAGAAGGATCTTAGGTCAGTCTTCGAGGAGTTTCATAGTAGGGGAATAATTAATCCGGGCCTGAACTCAACTTTCATTGCTTTGGTCCCAAAGAAGAAAGAGGCATTACAACCTAAGGATTTCAGACCTATCAGTTTGGTGAATAGCTTGTATAAAATGATTGCAAAAGTGTTGTCTGTCAGGATAAAGAAGGTCCTTCCCTCTATTATTGCACCCAACCAAGGAGCTTTTGTGGAGGGAAGATAGATCACTGATCAAATCATCATTGCAAATGAGAGTCTGGAGAGCTTTAGGAAATCTAAGAAGGGAGTGATATGCAAATTGGATTTGGAGAAGGCTTATGACCTAGTAAATTGGTCTTTTTTAGTGGAGGTGTTGAGAAGCTTTGGCTTTAGAGAAAGGTGGTGTAAATGGATTGGGGTTGTATTAGGACTAGTCACTATTCTATCTTGGTGAATGTAATGGTGGTTGACTTCTTTCCTGCTTTGAGAGGTATAAGACAAGGAGACCCACTCTCCCCCTTTCTTTTTACCCTGATTGCTGATGTACTTGGGAGATTGATCCATAGAGCAGACTCGAGGAATCTGATAAAAGAGTGGCGAGTTGGAAGGGAGGAGGTACCACTGACACATCTCTAATTTGCAGATGACACGACTTTGTTTTGTGAGGGTGGGAATATAAGCTGGATCTAGAATTTAAAATTAGCAATACAACTTGTTGAGCAGATGTCTAACCTCAAGGTGAACTTTGATAAGAGTTGTGTGGTGGGGGTGAATGTAGAGGAGAGGAAGTTAAGGAATTATGCAGGTGTGTTAGGTTGTGCAATCTCAGATTGGCAATTGACATACTTGGGCCTCCCTTTAGGAGATAATCCTAAGAACAAAAGCTTTTGGACTCCAGTAGTGGAGAGATTTGAGAAGAAGCTTGCGTCTTGGAAGAGAAATTATCTTTCCTTAGGTGGGAGAGTCACTCTGATTAGGTCTACCCTAGCTAACCTACCTATTTACTATTTGTCAATGTTTAAGATCCCCACTAAGGTCTCCAACTTATTGGAAAAATTAATGAGGAATTTTCTGTGGGAGCCTAGAGAGGAGAAGAGAGATCATAGGGTGAGATGGGAGGTGGTAATTAGATGTAAAAAGCTAGGAGGCCTTGGGATTGGAAATATCAAGAAAAGGAACATGGCATTGCTGGGAAAATGGTTGTGGAGGTTTATAGTGGAAAAGGAAAATTGTGGACAAAGATCGTGGCTAGCATACATGGGTTGGAAGACAATGGCTGGGATTCTGGAATTGTGGCAAGGGCTACAACTACTTCTTTGTGGAAATCCATCCATGATCTGCTTCCAGCTTTCTCCCCTTGGATCAGGTACAGTGTTAACTCTGGTAATCGAATAAAATTTTGGGAACATCTTTGGGTTCAGGTTTCACCTCTGAAGGACCAGTTTCCCTACCTGTATGCTCTGTCAGATTTGAAAAATGAACCTATCTCTTCTTTTTTAGGTCCTTCAGACTCCACTTCTGGTTTTGGGTGGAACCTTGGCCTGCGAAGGGCAATTAGGGATACAGACTTGGACAGCCTCTTACCTTTGTTAGCCATCCTCAATAATATTTTCCTAGATCCTAATAGGGAAGACACCAGAATTTGGACCCCTTCCACCTCAGGAACCTTCTCTTATGCTTCGTTTTTTGAAACCTTAACTCAGTCATCTGTCCCTTCTGGTTTGTCCTTTCCGCCTAAGGAAATTTGGAGCAAGCCCATTCCTCATCGGGTTGGTTTTTTTTGTTAGGAAATTTTCCTGGAAAGAATAAACACAAATGATGTACTTCAAAAAAAGAGACCCAATTATTGTTTACTTCCTAATAGATGTTCTCTCTGTAAAGATGATGGGGAATTCGGTTACCACCTTATGGTTTCTTGTAAGGTTACTAAAACTGTTTGGGAGTGGGTACTTTCCCGCTTTGGGTGTTCTTGGAACCCTCCCGAGAGTGTCCAAAGTTAGTTCTCCCCTTTGTTTTTCAGATGGCCTAAAAAGCGAGGGAAGATGTGTAGTATTAGGGCAGCCATGTGTTGGTCACTGTGAGAGGAAAGAAATTCTCAAATTTTTTTAGATAAGGAAAGATCCCTAGAATACCTATAAGAATAATACTTTTAAGAGCCGCCCACTGGCTAAAAACTACGGAACTACTTTCAGACTTTCCTATAGCTGACCTGTTAAGAAACTGGAAAGAGATAGCAACCTCTAATCTATGTAAGAGGACTCTTAGTCTGTCGTGGTCCCCTCCTCCCTCTGGATTTATAAAATTGAACTTTGATGGCAGTAGTCTAAGGAATCTAGGGCCCTCTGGGATTGGGGGAGTTTTCAAGAATGAGGAAGGGATTGTTATTGCTTTGTTCTCAGGCCCTATTGGAGAAGGAGACTCTCTTAGGGCTGAGATCCTTGCAGCTATAGAAGGAGTTCAAAGAGCAAGGGAATTAAATATCAGTCGGCTGATATTGGAAGGCGATTCAAAGGTGGTGATTAGCTGGTTGAAGAAAGAGGACAGTGGTTTGTGGAGCTATAATAATGAAAAGAAAAAATTCTTATGGCTGTGTAGGGGCATTGAGATACAATACAGCTGGTTGAAGAAGAGGACCGCTAATTCTTTTGCAGATGGGTTGGCCAAGCAAGGGGTGAATAGGGAGTCTATCTTTTGGGCTAATTTTTAATTTCCTTTCATTGTAATTTGCTGATGGGGAGCTAAGACTTTTTATCTCCCCCTTATTGTATCTAAAGCTTCATAAATTTTCTCTTAATTAATAAAGTTTCTGTTATTGATCAAAAAAAAAGTGGGAAGATTATGAATAACTGATAACATCAATAATTGCAGCTTACGTGGTGAAAAAGGTAACATAGACATTCAGGCATAAACCGCAAGTTTGAAGCTTCTCCCCATATAAGAAGATAAAGCCCCATATACAAAATTTTGTATTGTTGAACTCCCTGCCCCACAGACGGTAACCTGCAGATATGGATGTAGTTGGTAGGCAGAACAGAAAAAGGAAAGAAATCTAGAAAGAAAAAGGAAATGGAAAATAAATGAAAATCGATAGCATAAAATATGAGAAAAAAGTATATAAAGAGAATACAGCTTTCTCAAAACTAAAAGTGAGGTGATGAAGTTTTGCAAAATCTTAATTTGTTTGGTTGAAAGGCAAGACACATGTATCAATCTTACCGAATGTTGCTTTTTCTCCCCAAAAACTTGCACCAATTTGTATAATTTTTGAACAACTTTTTCATCAGCTCATCCACAGCTCCATGTCCCAGCTGATTTTACAATGATATGAATTTCAAATTGAAAGATTATATATATATAAAGTTGTGAAGTTAATAGAACAAACACCTCTGATGTAGATTCATGCTTAGGAGTCAACCGAATATGGATGTTTGCAAGGAGAAGAATCAGATGCTCTCGTTGGTTGGCTACATTTCCTTTCTGAGGAGATAGATATAAAATTGGTGTGACACCTTCAGCATATAAAAGTATAAAGTATGTTCTATGTGATTTTTTTGTCATATCTAAATGTTTTTAGATATGACAAAAACAGAGAAAGAAAGAGATGAATAGATTAACCTGAAATCCAAACCAACATTGCAACCATTCAAATAAATCCAGAACATCCGCTGGCTCCTGATGATTATTTGCCAATGGTAAACCACGAATATTGCGGACAGCAGCAACTGCAGCTATAATCTGTACCATTGTAATATTTATAGTGAAACAAATCCACCATAGAAGACTCTCAGCAAGATGCAGCTGGCAGTATTGATGCTACTTGACTGTGACTTGTTGCCAAGAAAATTTCTTGACAGCATAATGGCCCATTATACTGACACTAATGGCTTAGCCACCAAAAGAGGGTGACTGAGTTTTTTTCATAACTTAGCATAATTTACTAGACAGCAATGAAACTCAAAACACTTATTGGAATAGCACCAACCTCAGGGAATTGCATAATTGGTTGCTGTACACCTCCAGGATCAAGTGGAAGAATATTGTATGGTACATAGAGCTTCGATTTTGCTTCAATTTCTTCACCATCAGCAAGTATCTAAGAAGATATTAAAGATAAAAATAATATAATAAATGAAAGAAAGAAACTGTATTAACTGGAAAATGTTCTAAAGTTTGAACAAGTTCTAGACATATAGAAGTGGAGAAGGCAGAAACCTCAGAAGCAGTTCCAGATGTGACCGTCTCTAAGACTTCATACAGAACATAAGCAATAATACGTGCATTCGCCAATTGCTCCCTGTGAAGATTCATGTACATTAAAGATATTGGTGAGCACCAAAAAGAAGAAGAAAGAAAGAAAGAAAAATGATATAAAAATGTTCTAAACTTGTTTGTTTTGGAGCAGGATCCCAAAATAGTTGTTTTTGGGTAGCTTCGTTTTCAGTTTGGGCCCAATGGGTAGTTTTGCCATTTTATAATTCAGATTCTGGTCAGGGGTAGCTGGGTATACATCTGTTGGGTTTTGGTCTCTTGGGTGATTTTGTAATAAAATTTATCTATTGGGGGTTGTATGAAGTTAAATTTTGTTCCTAAGGAGCTATTTGTAAAGGGGGACATTCTAGGGGCTTATGTGTAAATATTTTAGTTGGCTTCTCTAGCCAACCATTAAGTCTTACAAAAGAGAAGGGAATTGTTTTTATTGGGGATTTTTGGGTTCTTTCTCTCTTATTTGAGCTATATCTCAGCCCCAGCTAGGGTTTTCTGGTATTGGGAGCTTGGGTTTTGAGGAGTCAAACTATTTCGCGCCTTTAATCCCTCTACCGCTGCGTGTCCACACAAGCTGCCAGCTTGACACCATTATTGCTATAGAACTATTCTAGGAGTTCTACTTCAGGTTCAGATTTGAAATCCCTAAGAATCCAACTTGTTTTTGTTGTTTTCAGCTTTGTACTGTTGTGCTTGTTTCTGTTCGCTTAAAGTACTGAATATAACTTGCTTATCTGTCCACAACAGATATCCACCTCGCCCAGGGAAAATTGATATGCAACCATTCAGGCATGCTTTTACTTAAAGTAAATATTGCATGCAGCCCATAAAGCAAAGACTGATTATTACCTATTTTCTTTACCAAAGAGTCTAGTATTTTCATCAATGCAGTCTTTATATCTGTGGTAAAGATCTCTTAGTTCATGTGCATCACTCCTTTTCTTCCATTTATAAGTGATATTTTCATCCTGAGCATAACAAGTAATGACAATGAGAAAAAGGATCAATAATATTGTAGGAGAAACAAAAGAAAATCCTACCAGACCTTACTACAAACAATGAAGATAAAGAAAACAGTAGCTCATACACAGCATCAACTAAAACATGCAAAATCTGCAAGACTAACGCCATAATTAATACATCTCAACCACAGGCCATTACAAAATTCAGAAACACTGCAAAATTTCAGAAAACCCTTATTACTGCTAAATACTCAAAATAAGCAACCATCTGCTGGCAATGTCAGGAACCATCTGCTGGCAAGGCATGTCAAGACAAAATATGAACTCGTAAGTTCTAATTTGCAAACATGCAAGTGCTGCCTCACTGTCTAAGGTATTCATTCATCAGGACTTGATAAAACATAATGTAACAACCCCAAAGAGGAGCTGTCTGCTGTCTGATAAAGTACAACCCAAGTACATTAGTACAAGTAGTATCATCACATCTTGAGAGAAATAAAAAAAAAAAAAAAAAAAAAACTGGTGTGAAGACAAAAAATGAATATTCATAAGTTCTAGTTTTCAAACATGCAAGTAGTTGTCTCACTATCATCACATCTTAAGAGAAATCAGAAAACTGGTGCAAGAACTAAGAGTTTAGATTCAACAGGCTAGAAGGGAAGCAAATGAATTGGCAGATGGTTTAACCAAACAAGTGGTGCACAGAACTCAAACATAGTGTGTCATGATTGATAAGGAATATGAGCTTTTTTAGTATTACGTTGTATTAATCAAAATATCCAAGATATAAAGCAACCCATGTACATTGAGAGACTGTACAGTAGGTATATACAAAAAACAAAACAAAAAAAAAGCATGTAAAGCCAAGCAAAAAGAGACCCAGTATTAGAAAAAAAAAACAAAAAAAGGAAAAAAGAGCTAGGCTGGACTTCTTTTTTTTTTGAAAAAAAAAAGGTAAGGTAATTTTATTAAGACAACAGAAATTACAGAGGAGCTCCTAATGCGGAGCTAGAATACAGAGAACCAAGCCCAAAATTAGATTACAGCTAAACCAAACTTCTACATCCTTAGATTTGTTTGGAAAAATCTACAAGATACTAATTTCACAGCTGTGCACCAAGAGCTGTGCACCAAGAGCTGTGCACCAAGAGCTGTGCACCAAGAGCCCTGGATTGGAACCCTTTCACAGCTGAAGTCCAAGATACTAATTTCCCCACACTACAAGCTACAAGACTGTCTACATCCTTAGATTTGTTTGGAAAAACCCTTCTGTTTCTCTCTGCCCAGATGGTGCCTTTCACTGCTGCAGGAATAGCCAACCACACACTTTTTGCCAACCACACACTAGCAAGAAAGCTTTGCATCTATACTATAGAAGGATGTACTGTTTTGTTTTTAAGCAGAATGAATTGAATAAAGTATTTTCTTTAAGCACTTTGTGCCTTGGTGGTGTGACTCCAACTCTCTTAGAAGTTCAACTCTGAATGATTGGTATGACTTTAATCTGGAATTAGAGTTCTAACATGAGATGCTAAAGACTCTTATTCAAGGCTGTGTAGCTTAACCCACTATTATATTCCCCTAAACCTTTCTCAAGTTGCATGCCCTGGGCTTCTAAGTTCTAACTGCACTGCATCAATCCACTTTCTCCATATATACCTAAAATTTATTTTCTCCAGTCTAATCAAGGAATCTTCAATTCATATGGTCATGAACCTTCTTGAAGTCATTTCTACAAATAAGTCCAACCTCCCCCTTGTCATCTTCAAGTTAATGTACCCACTAATCATAACAACACCACAAAGTATTTTCCTTCTTTTCAAAAAGGTCATTGATAAGGGCCAACTTTCCTGCACCACACTAAAACATTCTGCTAAGATTTCAGCTACTGTTGTCTATACGATTGTAACAAGACTTTACACCTTAAGTCCACAAGAACCACAGCTATTTTCAGAATTCAGGGTATAGTTGGAACCCTGACTACCCATCCCTAACATGAAATTTCATAAGAACCTTCATCAAGTCTGTTTTGGAGAAGCTACAGTAATCCGAACCAGTGAAGAAGGAAGAAGAAGATGAGGAAGAAGACAAGAGAAAGAGAGAACAGGAGGGTTTAGTCGAAAACTGATTAGTCTCCCATTCAGTCGACTCCCTTATGTTTATTAGGTTCTAATTACACTTACAAAGACTAAACTGCCCTCACTTAAGTGTGG